ATATTGTATGTAGGAAAGCATTCAGTATTCACACAACACATGTGCCCTGTGTGAACATGTTCATATTTATGAATATGCACACTCTAGATTTCATGATTTACATGAACGTATTTAACTGTATGATATGACGCAGTATACATGTGGTACACCTGATAAAGCTCTGTATACACATACAATACTAAAAGACACAAAATATGTGTAATACAGAAACTATCCTCAAGGTCTGATACACACGCAATGCATCTTTGATACAGAATGAATCTTATACATAGGAAAACTGAGGCACAGGGTGGCAAGTAATTCGCATGACTAAGGTGGTGTGCCGCTCAGTGGCAGGAATGAACAACAGGAATCACCTGGCCCCATACCGCCCACAGTGGGCAGGGTGCGCATGCGCAGGTGGATCAGCGTGGTTGTGCGGATTCAAGCACAGTACCTTGAGGAAGGCCTTGGCAGCCCGCCTGCAGGCCTCGTAGTACTCAATGTAGGTGAGCAATTGCCAGCTCTTCTTGTACTTGGAGCCTATCGCCAGGTAGTGTGAGTACTTGGTGGCGGCACTCATGATCATGTCCGGCACTGTGATCGGAGGCTCATTCTCTGAGTTCTTGCCCATGCGCAGCTTCACTTCACCATCACGCTCAGTTGTCCAGTAGCAGCTACCTGCTTCAGGGTCAGAGGTCACTCCATGGGATGGGAGGAGGAATGAGGTTCCTGGGAGGATGGGGGTCGCTGTCCCCAGTACAGGAGGACATGGGGTCAGAGGTCATTTCTCACATGAGGATTGGAGGATAGAGGTCAGTGTCTCCAAGAGGACAGGACAAAGGACAAGGGTGATGTTCACTGTCTCCTGACCCACAGGAGAGAGAGCACAGAGTCATAGTGACTGAAGCCATAGGTCGATAAAGCTTGGAAGGTACCACCCTGGTTCCCCTGGTACACCTGGCCCCTCCACAAGGTCCTCACCCGCACTGATCATCCACCCTCTGGGACCAGTGCTCCTCCACTACCTGGAGTGACAGGACTCCTTGGGACCCCATGCTGACCCTGTCAGCCTCTCCTAGCACCCAGGGTAGGGGCCTCCCACCTGGGGCCATTGTATCTGAGTCTACAGATCTTCGTGTGGTTTCCTTCTTCGTCATTTTGCTGTAAACTTTGGTCTTCAGGATGGTTTTTACTGGCAGGCTAGACTTGGTGCCTTCAGGGTTATCTTGTTCCTTGGGGTCAGACATCCCCTTGACAGAGATTAGACACACAAGAGATTAGTTCACACAAGGTTATAGGTGTCAAGTGTACCCGTTAAGATGCCTGCCCTCTCATGGAGTGGAGTGGACAGTAGTCGAGTTGTCTGGGCAAAGATGAGAACCTACAGACCAGTTGTGGGTATTAGCACAGGAGACTAAACAAACTAGGTGTTAGTGAGAATGTCTCGTGTGTGTGTGTGTGTGTGTGTGTGTTGTATGCAGATGTGTGGGGCCCAGAGGTCATACCCATGTGTGGTCCTCAGCTGCATCATCTGACCCCCTCCCCACACAAACCTGCTGCCAGTGAGAACCAGGGATCTTCTTCTTGCTGGAGGGGGTGGGGACTGAACCCAGTTCCTCAGGTGTATGTGGTATGTGAGTTAGTTCCAGGGTAGCATGGGCTACAAGAGACCCTGGGGAGGAGAATTGTAAGGGGAGAAAGGGATGAAGGAGAAAAGATTACGGTTTTTCAGTACACTAACCCTGCCTAGCTGCCAGGAGTTTCTGGAGAGAGGCTAGGGCACATATGGCCCTCAGACCTCCCTCTTCTCCTTGGGCTCTTGATGCTTTATCATTGGTGGGGCAGTGGTGATTCTTGTCCAGCTCCGTCACCACCTCCCACTCTAGTCACAGAGGGACAAGAAGCACCCAGACTGGATGTCCTCCAGGACATTCTCTTCTATAGTCTAACCCTTGTGACATCACTGTATTCCGTGAGCCAGGGCCTCAATGGAAATGTGACCCAGTGCTCCTTTTCAAGAGGCTAGCTCTGGGGAACAAGGACAGGTGCAGCAGAAAAGAGACTTTGCTATAAGTGCTACCAGCCAGGGAGCTCCCAGGACACTGATCCCCAAAGAGCTGGTGGCAAAGTTCTGGGTTCTGGTCTGGTAGCCCGAGGAACTCCAGTGTCCCAAGGGCAGACCGGCCTACATAAGACCCTGTGTCAGGATACTAAGAATAGAATGACCTGTGATCTTGATTCCCCTTCTGGACATTTGACAGAAACCATCGAAAGAAGGGAATTAAGTGGGGCATTGGTGGGGCACACCTTTAATCCCAGCACTCAGGAGGTAGAGGCAAGAGGATCTCTGTGAGTTCGAGGCCAGCCTGGTCTACACAGCAAGTTCCAGGACAGAGAGAAACCATGTCTTGAAAAACAACAAACAAAACAAAACAAAACAAAACAAAAAAAAAAAAAAGAAGAAGAAGAAGAAGAAAAGAAGAAAGAAAGGACTTGGTGATGTCACATATCCATATTCACACTGCAGCTGCTCTGCTCCTAGCCTGTGCTCAGTGTGAGGGAGGGCGGGTGTGGGCTCTCCAGTCTACAAGAGGACATTCTAATGGACACCCATCCTAATCAGGGGGAACCATGATGATACAGTGAAATGTGCCAGACAAGAGCACATGCCCCAGGGGCTCACTTGTAGGCCCCTAGAGCAAGTCACAGGAAGTGCTTGGTGGGGATCCGGGAGGATATGGAGCTTGGGACTGAGTACTGAACTGCACAGAACTTCAGTATGGAGAGAGGGAAGGTTTTGCACTGGAGTGATAAGGTTACATGGTATGATTGCATGCTTTGTTTGTGGGAGGCATCTTTGAAGTCTCTATTATCCAAGGATAACTTTAAACTCCTGGTCCCCCTGCCTCTGCCTTCCCCCGTGTTGGGATGACAGGCATATGTCACCATGCCCAGTTTGTGTGACACTTGGGATCGAATCAGACCTTGTGCATGCTGTGTAAACGCTACCACTGGCCTACAGCCCCAGACACGATGGTGATTTTGTTTGTTGTTTGTTTGTTGTGCTGTGTGTGTGTGTGTGTGTTTTCGGGCTCCTGCAAGTACCTGAATGGACCTGTCTCGTTTCACTTATATTTCTGTCCAGTGTAATGCACAATGCCCAGCACTGGAACTTTAGAAAAAACTAAAAAACTAAACAAAAACCTCACAAATGCTTACAAATGTATGAATGAGTGTTGTAATTTTAAAAACTCCATGAAGAGAAGTCACACCAAATAACAGGACTCATATCAGAGGTATATGGGAAGAGGAGAAGGGGCAAGAGAGGGCAGAAGGGGAGGCAGAGACTGGTCCCTGGGAGCAGGAGTAGAGAAGGGGGAGAGGAAAAAGAGGGGGAAGGGGAAAAGATGGGAGGTGGGCAGGGCCTTTTAAAAGGGAACTTGATTGTGCACAGGAGGTGCTCTTACTGGCTGTGGCTAAGGGCGCCTGAATACTAACAGTGAGTGGGTGGATGAATGAATGAATGAGTGAATGGTTGGGTGAATAGATGAATAAGTACATTGGTGAGTGAATGGATGGGTGAATGATGGGTGAAGAGAGCCCACGCTCCCCCTTCTCCTGAGGCAGAGTGCAGGGGAGGATGGCCAGTGATGTCACAAGGGGTGGCCTGAGTAGAAGATTCCAGAAGCCTGAACAGGACAGAAGCTCTGTGGGGCAGGAAACCCCACCTATTTTGTCCCTCTCTCCACCATCACCCTGACAAGCCTGAGGGGGTGACCAGTGCTTCTGAGACGACCCACCACTGACCAGCTCTGTGCAAGGAGAAATACCTTGGAGACCAGATGTGCCCATTTGTGACACCTGGTCACCTGGGCCAGAGCCGCACCCTGTGAAGGAAGGGTGATGTTTGGTAAGGTTCCAAGATGACCTCTGCATGGAGCACATGGCCCTTTCAGAACAGAGCGTGCACTTAGGGAAGGCAGAGGTTTAGTTTCTCCCCATGGAGGGAAGATGGCCTTAACTCCTGATCCTCCTGTACTTGCTGCACAGATGAGAGTTGAGGTTCCTAGATCCATGTAAAAGCTGAACCTGGCAAAGTGGAAGGCGGGTGTCCACCAGAGCTGCACTCAGATGTTGTGACAGTGTGCATTGTCCTGATGGGAGCAGTCAGTGTCTGTTGCATACAAAGGGCATCTAAAGTCCCTTTGTGTATGTGTGTGGAAGCCAGAGGCCGACTTTGGATGAGGGCCCTCAGACACTGTTTACCCTGTGTTTCGAGGGCAGCTCTCACAGAAACAGAAGCTTCCAGTGAGCTGTGAGTGGGTCGGATGGCTGCTGGTGAGTTCCAGCAATGCTCCTGTGTCAGCCTCTCCAGAGCTGGGTGCACACCACCACATCTAGGGTTTCATAGATGCTGGTGTCAAACTCAGGTCCTTGTGCTTGTACAGCACACATTTACCCACAGAAACATCTCCTCAGACCTTGCTTTTGAACTGAATTTTGTTTTGTTTCTAGACAGGGTTTCTCTTTGTAGCCCTGGCTATCCTGGAACTCATTCTATAGACCAGGCTGGCCTCGAACTCAGAGTTTGCCTGCCTCTGCCTCCCGAGTGATGGGACTAAAGACATGCGCCTCCACCGCCCAGCCTATTATTTTTAAAGAGCAAGACCTACTACATTGTTCAGCTGCCCCGACTCTAACCACAGCCCTTCAGAGAAGCATGGTCACAGCATGCACCCTATGCCTAGCTACTGATGCTTAAAAATTACTTTATTATTATTGTGTGTATTTGTGCCTGTGTGTGCCACTGCATACATGTAGAGGTCATGGGACAACTTGGGGCAATCCATATCACATGGGTCCAAGGGATTGAACTCAGGTCATCAGTCTTGACTCTGTGTTTACCATTGAACACCCTCTAACTTAGAAATCCTCCCAGGCCAAGTCAGACATGACTAAAGCAATCCTGAGCAAGGGTCAGGCAGACATCACCAATGGATGGAGGTCAGGCCCTCTGCCTTTCTTGCCAACCTTACTCTGTTTCCTTCTCTGATTCATTGCCTGTGGCTGTGCAGCATTTTGACGAATGCTCCTTGTGAATCTGGAAAGGCTGAACCACCAATGGCTCAGGAGAAGAAGGTGGAGGACCCTGACAGAGGCATGGATGTCACCCCAGGTCTGTGATGGCCAGAGAGCACCGGGGAGTGGGTGGGCACCGTGGCCCACAGTGCCACCTGGGCTATCTTGGCCGAGTATGCCTGACCTTCCTGGTTGGGCATGAAGTAGCAAGTGGTCAGCAATTTGGAATTCAGTCACTTAGACCACGGGTGACCACTAGGGGTTGTTGGCCCTTTGGGAACCTCACTTACATATTATCTAGTTTCTGGAGCTAAAGACAAAGGGCAAAAGTAACCTAAGGGGGGATTAAGTGAGGTGGATGACAGCTCTAGGCATGCTGCAGGACACACGATCTAGAGAGTTCTTCACAGAGCCTCTTCCGGGCCATTCAAAATAGTGTCAGCCGACCAAACTAATCACATAGGTACTTTGTTCTTTTCTTTTGCTTTTTCTTTCATTTTTTTGGGGGGGGGGCAGTTGGTTTTTTGAGATAGGGTTTCCCTGTGTAGCCCCAGCTGTCCTGGAACTTGATCTGTAGTCTAGGTTGACCTCAAACTCAGAGATCCACCTGCCGCTGCCTCCCGAGTGCTGGGATTAAAAGAACGTGACACCAATACCCAACTCACACAGATACTTTAAAAAAAATTACATGGGGCTGGAGAGATGGTTTGGTGGGTAAGGTCACTATCTGCTCTTGCAGAGGACTTTGGTTCTATTCTCAGAACCTGTGTGGTGGTTCAGGATTGCCTGTAACTACAACAGACTCCCCTGGATCTGAAGTTTTTGTCTCACCTTCATGGGCACCAGCCACTTGTGTGGTTCACAAACATACATGCAAACAAAGCATCCTTGCACATAAAATTTGAAAAAGGATTGTGTGTGTGCATGTGTGGTGCATGCATGTATGTGTGCATGCATGTATGTGTGCATGCATGTGTGTGTGCATGCGCATGCACCTTCCTTCATGATCACACACATCTACACCATGGAGAGTCGGCAGCACCTCTGTGTGTTACAGATCGTTCTTTGTCCCGGGCAAGTTCCTGCCGCTCTGGAGCCCCTAAATAAACACACAGACACTATATTAATTATGAAACTGTTGGCCAGTGGCTCTGTCTTAATTATTCACCCATAACTATTAATCTATGCATTTCCACATGGTCTTGGCTTACCGGAGAATGCCTTGTGTGTACTCTCTTCCTGGGTTCACATCTCATCTCCACTCTGCCTATACTTCCCAGCATTCTCCTCCTCTGGTAGCCCCGCCTATCCTTCCTGCCTGGCTACTAGCCACACCGTGTTTGATTCATCAACCAATAAGAGAAACATTCACACAGCAGGATATCCCCCATCATCTCTGTTGGCATTGTGCCCATGTGGGTGACATCCCAGGAGCCATTCCTGTAGATGACATGGGTGAGTGTTAGTGAGTTGGGGTCATTATGCAGGGACCTGAGAAAGCCCTAAGGTCAGCGTGTGATCTGAACAGCTTTGTTCACCCCTGTACCAGCCCTTCTCAGAGGAGAGGTTTGGAAGAGTGGACACTTCTGTAGTCCCTTCTCCAGCAGTCTTGACCTTGTAAAAACTTGCCTTGGAGCTTTGGAGATGGCTTCACAAGCATGGGTACCTCAGTTGCCCCAAAGCCCATCAGAAGGCTAGATGGGGAAGGCTAGTGGCTATGGATTGTGACCCTAGCCCTGGGGAAGCAGAGACTGGAGGGATCCCTGGGGCTCCCTGGCCCCAGCCCAGGCAGTCAGGGAGTTTGATTTCAGTGGAGAGACCATGCCTCAAAACACAAGGTGGAGAGCAACCCAGGAGGACATGGATGTTGACTTCTGGCCTCCATGTGTACCTGTATATATACGTATCCATACACACTGGTTTATACAGATGTATGTACACAGACACAAGTATAAGCACATAAACATAATGTACATATACACAAACATACTCATGAACATCAGTAAACAATCACAGATATAAACATACATATGCACAGATACACATGCACACACACACTGTTATGTGTTACCCCCATTGTGTAACAAGAAAGACTTTTCCCAAGGAGACACCAAGTCCACTCATCCCAGGTAGGGAGTCTGCAGCAGAACAAAGTATGGATACCACCAAAGTCCCACTTGGTGAGCCATGAGTTTTACTGGGGTCACTGACAGGAATATGGGTGAGGGGAGACAGCTGTGTCACCAAGATCCACCCCAGCATGGCTGACAACTCACAGAGCTGGAACCTGTAGGCCACCACACAGGGTGGAAAGCATCCTTTCCAGGTGCTTCAGCTAGCCTGAGCCTCTTCCAGCTCAACAACTCTGACAGCGTGTCTCGGCAGTTGTTAGCAGTTATATACATCTGTAGGGTGTGCCTTAGCTAGGGTCTCTGTTGTTGGGATAAACACCATCTAAAAGCAAGTTGGGTAGGAAAGGGTTTATTTTATCCTATGCTCATGGTCCATCATGAGGGAAATCAGGGCAGGAGCTGTAACAGAGGCCATGGAGGCTGCTGTTTATTGGCTTGTTCCCCCTGGCATGCTCAGCCTGTTTTCCTACACCATGCAAGAATGTATGCCCAGGATGGTGCCACATCCAACTGGCTGGGCCCTCCCACATCAATCATCAATCTAGGAAGTGCACCACAGACTTGTCTATACGTCAATCTGATGGAGGCATTTTCTCAATCCAGGCTCCTAGACACATCTAAGGTTGTGTCAACTTGACAAAAAACAATGAGCACATGCAGGGAGGAGCTGGTGAATCTGGTCAGTTTCAGGGACTTCCTGAGGGTTCTGAATTGTTTACTTTTGAGCATTCTTGGCATAGTGGCGTGTTTGATCTCAGAGGGAACTTCTACTCAATGCACATGTACATAAACGCACACACTTGCAGGTTCCTCCTCTCCAGCTTGCAGTAGTACATGCCCTTGGCTGTTGCTGATGCTCTGAGGCTGTGGCCTCCCTTCTGGCCTTCTCTGATCCTTGGTACGTTGGTTATTTTCAGTGGTATGGTGATACCATGACCAAAGGTAACTTAAGGAAGAGGTTTTATCTGGTTTATGGTTTGGAGGACTGAGTCCTTGATGGAAGAATGGCAGCAAGTAGCAGTCATGGCAGCAGGAACCAGGAGCTGAGAGCTTGCATCTGGAACCAGTGATCAAAGTAGAATTAGCATGGGGCTTTTTAATCCCAAAGCCCATTCTGCTGTGACATGCTTCCTGCAGCAAGGCCACGCCTAACCACCCACCCCTCCAAACACATACACAACAGCACTAGAAATAGGGACCAAGTATTCAAACATATGTACCTATGGGGCCATTCTCATTTAAACCACCCAAGAAGTCAGGACAGGAACTCAAGCAGGACAGGAACCAGCAGCTGATGCAGAGGCCATGGAGGGCACTGCTTACTGGCTTGCTCTCCATGGCTTACTCAGCCTGCTTTCTTAGAGAACCCAGGACCACCAGCCTAGGGATGGCATTACTAACAGTGGGCGGTGCCTTACCCATCAATCACTAAGAAAATGCCCTATAACAGAATCTTAAGGTGGCATCTTAATCAAGGCTTCCTCCTTTCCGATGACTGTACCTTTTGTCAAGTTGACGTAAATCTAGCCAGCACACAGGATAACCCCTCCACACACAGCCTGGCTTAAGCATCTCTGAAGCCACAGAAAAAGAATCCACAGTTCATTGACTCTTGCATCCCTTGTCCGTTCAAAGCCAGCACCTTGTAAACTGTGCTACCAGCTTGAGATGGGTCCCGCCCCCTTGGACCACAGCACTGCAGTCTTTTCATCCAATTGCTTCCCAGGAGCACAGATGCCCTCAGGAGTTAGAGCTTAGCTGGGTGGGGTTGGCCTGATGGTCCTTCCCTGCGTCCCAGTGCAGGGCCAGCCTCTCTCTCTTTTTCTCTGCACACTCTACATTTTGAAACTCTTGCTCTTTTTCACTCTAGACCTTCCTAAGAGTGGTCTCTCTAACAAGACAGAGCCAACATTGTGCTTCAAGCTTCCTGCAACAAAGGAAGAGCTCGTTACTTTAAAAAAATTGTTTTTCATTTCACTTTACGTTGTGGATGTTTTGCTGGCATTCACACCATGTGTTACGGTATCGTCAGAGGTCCCTCACAGTCTGGGGCATTTGGACTCTGGTCTCGAGCTGGTGCTGCAGGAAGTGAGTGTGTCACATGGGTAGGATTTGAGATGGAAAAGCCCTCTGCTTCTTGCCAGGGCTACATGAAAAGGTCCCCACACATAGATCAGACTTGCTTCAAGACCTCACTTGTGAGGATTGATGACTGGCTGTGTGTCTCTCTTTATTTTTATTTTTTAATATTGTATGTGCATTGATGTGAAGGTGTCAGAAGGTCCAGTTCCCCTGGAACTGGAATTACAGACAGTTGTGAGCTGCCACATGGTGCTGGGAATAGGACCTGGGTCCTCTGGAAAAGCAGCCAGTGCTCTTAATTAACTGCTGAACCATTTCTCCAGGCCCGTGAATCCCTCTTTAATTAAAAAAAATTCATCCCTTAAAGCTCCCCCCACACCACAACCAACCAAAATTTCAAGACGGTTAGCAGTGGTTCTCAACCTGTGGGTCAGGGCCCCTTTGGGAGTCAAATAACCCTTTCACGGAGGTCACCTAAGATCATGGGAAAACACAGACATTTACATTATAGTTCATAAAAGTAGAAAAATTACCGTTGTGAAGTATCAAGGAGCATAACTTCATGGTTGGGGTCACCACAACATGAGGAACTGTATTAAAAAGGGTCGCAGCATCAGGAAGGTTTGGAACCATTGAGAACTCATTGTATCTAAACCACAGTGCACTGATGCCCCATGATCCTGTTGTCTGAGACGGTCTTTGTCAGTTCCTGTTTGTTTTGTTTCCCCTTTTGGACACCATGTCTTGTTTAGCCCAGGCTGCTCTTTAACACACCATGAAGCTAAGGATGACCTCAAATTCCTCCATGTATGTGTGTGTGTGTGTGCATATGTGTGCAGGAGAACATGCACCCTAGTATACCCACATGCATGTGGAGGCCAGGAGGCAATGTTAGGTGTCCTCCTCAGCCACTCTCATGTATGTATGTGTGTGTGTGTGTGTGTGTGTGTGTGTGTGTGTATGCATACATGCATGTATACTTTCTATCCTCTGTCTACATCTATCCATCCATCTATCCCGTCTATATCCATCAATTTATCTATGGACTTACATCTATTTATCTGTTGGTCCATCTATTTGAACCAGTGGTTACAGGCCCACCATGATGCTCCTGGGTTTTGTGTTTTTCGTTGTCGTTGTTGTTGTTTTTAACCTGAGCACATAGGACCTGAGATCAAGTCCTCATGCACACACAGCAAGCCCTCACTGACAAAGCCTACTCGTAGCCTCCAGAGCTCTGAGCTGATAAACAGGAGACACTGTGCCTGGCTCCTTTAAAAAAAAAAAAAATTACATTTATTTGTCTGTTTTTGAGGGTGGGGCTTACCGCTGTATACATGTGGAGCCAGCTCTCTCCTCCCCCCCCCCCCATGTGCATCCAGGGGCTTGGACTCAGGCCAGCAGCTCGGTGGCAGCACCTCTAGCCATTGAGCTTCCAATATTGGATAGAAATCCTGATGGGGGCTGGAGATGCTGCTTAATGGTTAAGAGCACTTGCTGTGCCCTCTTCTGGCCGTCGTAGGCACTGCAGGTGAACAGTGCAGACGTACATTCAGGTGAAACAATCACCCACATCAATAAATAATTGTAAAAATTCTCTGAAGGCCGGGCTGTGGTGGCGCACACCTATAATCCCAGCACTCATGAGCCAAAGGCAGGCAGATCTCTGTGGGTTCAAGGCTAGCCTGGTCTACAGAGCAAGTCCCAGGGTAGCCAAGGCTACCAAAACAACCAAAACAGAAAAACAAAAAACTGTGTGAAAATGCCCATGTAGGGCTGAGGCTGTGACTGGGCTGTAGAGCATTGGCCCAGTATACACCAGTGCTCCAGCTCAGCACCACCCACACCTACGACTCTTACAGCTCCTCCCAGGCTGTGGAGCACTCACTGTGATGAAGAGGTGCTCCTGAGGCTCTCCAGACATGGGCCAGGCCATGAGACCCCGATGACCATTCCCGAGCTGTTTCAAGAGTCTGTCGAGCGATTTGGTGCTTACCCAGCCCTGGCCTCAAAGAACGGCAAAAAGTGGGACACGCTGACTTTCAGCCAGTACTACGAAGCATGCCGCAAGGCAGCCAGGTCTTTCATCAAGGTGAGCAGCTCCCTGCATCAGCCATTCAGAAGCGGTGGTCCATAGAGTGGGGTGGTAGACTCTGGGGTCCTAAGTTCTGAGCCAGCCTAGGGTACTGGAACCCTGTCTCAGAAAACAAACAGAAAGTTAAAAAGGAGCTGGGTGGAGCCTCAGTGACCAGAGTGGTGTCTCAGCATGGGCAGAGAGCCCGGGCTCCATCCTCAGTACCACATACAATCAGGTATGGTGGTGCACACCTGTCACCCTCACTCAGGCAGGGAAAGCAGGAGGGCTGGGAGTTCAAGATCATCATGGCAACAGAGTGAGCTAGGGTCTAGCCTAGGCTACATGATTAGACACCATGAACAAGGCAACTGGGACTGGCTTACAGTCTCAGAGGGCTAGTCCATGACCATCATGGTGGGGAGCATGCAGAATGCGTGCACGGTGCTGGAGCAGTAGGTGAGAGCTTACATGTGGTAAGCAAGGTAAGAGTTGGCCTGGGGTGGTATTTGAACCCTTCAAGCCCACCCCCAGTGACACACCTACTCCAGCAAGGCCACACCTCCTAATCTTTCCCAGTTCCACTCACTGGGGACCAAGCATTCAAACATATGATCCCATGAGTCCATTCTCATTCACACACATTCCGCTCCCTGGCCTCCTAGGCTTGTAGCCATATCATAGTGCAAAACTGCATTCAGTCTAACTTCAGAAGTCCCTATAGTCTAGCACAGTCTAACACTTCCGAAGTCCCAGGTCTCTTCTAAGGACCAAAGCACTCTCTTAACTGTAAAATCAAATCAGAGCTTGCACACTTCCAGCATGCAATGACTCAGAACATAACGTTATCATTCCAAAAGGCTGGGAAGAGAGCATAGTGAGGAAACCAGAAGGATGGAGAGCTGGCAGGGAACTCCATGTCCTGTCCTGTCACTCTGGTGTCAGCTTGGATGGCTCTTTGGGTCTGCATGCTTTCCAGTATCAATGACAGCAGCACACTTCTGTGCCTGGGTCTGACTCCCTGCCTGAAGTGCAGCTCCACTCCATGGCAGGTATCCCACATTCAGGCATCTCCATCACCTGGGGTTCTCTAATACATCCCAGGCTTCACTTCCACAGCCTCCATGCAGGGACTCCCCTACCACATGCCTGGCCTCTGCGCTTCCTTTAACCATGGCGGGACATTCCAAACCACTTTACTCCTTACCCTTCGTGACCAGAACCATATCCTGATGCTGCCAAGGCCTGCTGCCTCTTGGGGGAAGAGCCTAGACACCCCAGACCTTTGTGCGCATGTGCTTTGACTCATTGCACAGCCTTCCTTTAATTTCTTCCATACGTTGCAGGATTAGCTGAGTGGGGTCTCACCCTGAGGGTACCACTCCTTTATTTCAGCATCAGACTTTTCTCTAAGCATGTCATACCCTTGAGCACAGGACTTGGCCCCAACATGACATTCGTGATGCCGCCCAGAGCACATTTTGTACTTCTCTTTGCCCTGCTCACTCCTTCCCTTGTAGACCTGCTTAGATCACTAACAGTCATGTGACATAGTCAATATTAGGCTGTCTTGAAATCTCATTTGCCCACAACATTGGTCCAAATCTATTCACATTAGCCTCAGGCAGAAAGTAGCCACATTCTTCATCAAAATATCCTAAGTGGCCTTTGGCCCTGTTGCTAATACTGTCCTCTGAAACCTCTTGAGTTGGGCATCCATAGTCTACAGTCTCCCAGCACCACTGTCTTCCAAGATCATCCTAGGATGGCCCATGAAGGCCCACTTAAAGCATCCAGCCATTGTCCTAATCTAAAGCCCCAAAGTCCATAATCCACCAACAAGTGGCATGGTCTGGCCTGTCACAGTTTTACTCTGCTCCCTGTCACCAACTTCCATCTTAGTCAGTGTTCTATTGCTGAAGAGACACCATGACCAAGGCAACTCTTATATAAAAAGGCATTTCATTGAGGGGCTGGCTTACAGTTTCAGGATCTTAGTCCACAATCATGGTGGAGGGATCAGACAGGCATGGCGCTGGAGGGCTACATCCTGATCCACAGGCAGAGGGAGGAGGAGTGAGGCTGGGCCTGCCATGGGCTTTTGAAACCTCCAAGCCCACCCCAGTGACACACTTCTTCCTACAGGGCCACACCTTCTACAGCTTCCCAGACAGTTCTACTACCTGGGCCCAAGCATTCACATATATGGGCCTCTGGGGGCCATTCTCATTCAGACACCACAGTAGATACAGATAAACATTATTTTAAAAAGCTTGGGGTGGGAGTGGTGGCTCAGCTGCTAAGGACTCTTGCTGCTCTTCCAGAGGACATGTTTGGTTCTTGGCAGTGGCTCAGGCTAAAAACTCCAGTTTCAGGAGACACAACACCTCAGGCTTCCATGGGCAGCGGTATGCAGATGCACACATCTGCGAGTGTGCACACACGTGCTCGTAATTAAAACTAAGGAGGTGAAGGGTGGATCCTAGGTTACCCACTTGTGGCCTGGCCTGTATGGTGAGTTCCAAGGAGAAGCACAAGGCTGTGCCTGGAAAAGTACAAAGGCGTGGGCCAGGCCCCACGCTCCCCAAAGGGGCTGTGCTTCCTGAACCTTTCCCAGCAAGAACTGATTTCAAAAGCCAGGTGTGGCTGTGAGTTCTTGCATTCCCCACCCCCACCCCCAGCCAGTGGGTGAGCAGAGGCTCATCCCAAAGGCTCTCAGGTGTGGCTGCTTGTTCCTGAAGCCCCTGAACAGGTGGGTGAACACAGACTCACTGGCCTGGTGCAGTGGGACACCTGTCTCAACACAGGGACAGAGGAAAAGGTGAGGTCCTGTCCAGCCTCCTGCATACCCATACACCCAGATGAATGGCATGTGAGCAATGACCCCTGAGGATACCCTCTGTGGGCACATGCATGCACAGGCATGCACACCATTCATACACATTTCCTACAAAAAAGGCATAGAATTAGCAGACCACCCAGAATGTTCTCTTGTAAGTATATGCTCGGAGGAATCATGACCAGGGCCTTACAAGAATATCCATACATCTGTAGCCACCACAACAATGTTCACACCAGCCAAGTGCCCACAGTGCTGGTGCATAAGCAAAGTGTGATGTGTCTGAACAGTGGGGTGCTATACAGCCTTGGAAACAGGAAACCTGATACATGATACTGCATGGACAGCCCTCCCACCCCCCACCCCCAGGACAAGATACTTGATGATGTGAATCTTACACAGAGGACACACACTGCAAGATCTCATCCTAAGGGGTTCCTAGACCCATCAGACCCACAGCACCAGGAAGTGCGATGTGGGTTCCAAGGTCTGGAGAGGGACAGAGTTAGCATTGAACGTGGGCAGAGACTCATGTGGGGGAAATGGAAGAGTCTTGAGGCCGATGGTAGAAATGGCTATACAGCCAAGTGGACGTGCTTTCTAGCCCTGTCCCACAATGACTTCTGCACCAAGGGGACTTCATCGCATGGATGCACAGAGGGCAGTGAGCAAGCTCCTGGCACTGGAGTGCAGGCTGCACAGCAGCCCCCTGCTCCCTGCGACTGCTTTCGCGCTGGTGTTTTTGTTTGTTTGTTTCTCCCCTCCTCCTGACCAGATCTTGAGTAGAAGTGGTCATGCCCAGGAGCTGATGGCAGCTTCCTTCTGTTTTTGTTCCCTCCAGCTGGGCCTGCAGCGTTTCCATGGCGTCGGCATCCTGGGCTCTAACTCCCCTGAGTGGGTCATAGGCGCCATCAGTGCCATCTTGGCTGGGTATGTTCCACCGCTGGGGTCATGTTGACGAACCACTGCCACCAGCTGCTCAGTGTTGGGTCCGGGAGCTGCACAAATATTGAGAACTAGGCCACCCAAGTTAGTTGAGCAGAGGCAACTTTAGTTCATCACCACAGGGGACCAGAACTTCTATCTAGTCAGGGCCACAGGCAGATCGGGTTCTGACACCATGACTTGGAACAGAGTGAGTAGCCTCTTTTTAAAGCAAAAGTCACAGGTAAGGGGGGCGGGCAGGGGTGACATAAGAAAGAATTTTTACAGTTTCAGATTTGGGTATTGGCACATTCCGGGAATTTACAATTTGTTATAACAAGGTGTTTCTACAAGCTTAATGGGGTTTGCTTACACAAGTCTGTGGTTATCATAACACAGCTCCTGAGACATCTGGGCTCTTAATTTTTAACCAATATGTCTTCTTGTGACTGCAGAGGATATGGGACAAGGGTCATGCACAAGATGCTGGGTAGATGGCTAATGTTCTTGAATTATTGTTGACTCATCACAAACCTGGATTCAGATTGGCAGGTCAAGAGTAACACCCCCTCCACCTGTGACCTCGGCCTCATCTTCGTTTTTAAAATAGCTTCTTCAAATTTAAGATTTGTGCACATGTGCGGGTGTATATTTGTGTGTGTGCGTGTGTGTGTGTAGATGTCCAGAGGCCAGGAGAGGGGGTAAAGGGGCCAGATCCCCTGCAGCTAGAGTTACAGGCCATTGTGAACCAAGGTGGTGCCGGGAACTGAACTGGAATCCCCTGCAGGATTGGCCGTCCCTAGCCCCGGCTGAGTTCTCAGAATTGGAGTCCTCTACGGAAGCCTGGTAGTTTGGGGCTCTGTGGTAAAGTGGTCCTTCCAAAAACACACAGCCCTGGCTAGGGAGCCAGCTGGGTGGTCAAAGGCTTCATGCTATCAGTGTGAGGACCTGAGCTCAATTCTGAGAAGCTACGTAAGACACTAGCACTGGCTGGGGAGATGGCTCAGAGGACAAAGGTGCTTGCCACCAAACTTGCTGACCTCAGTCTCATGCCTTGGCTTCAAGGGTAGCAGGAGAGAATCAGCTGGCTACCCTCTTACCTCCACGGGCCCACTGTGGGATGAGCCACCACATCCACACAAATGCATGTAATCCTAAAGAAGAAGACATTGTGGGAAGAGCACTGGCTGCTCTTGCAGAGGACCCAGGTTTGATTCCCAGCACCCACATAGCAGCTCACAACTATCTGTAACTCCAGTTCCAGGGGATCTGACTCCCACTTCTGGCCACTGTGGGCCCTTTATGCATGTGAGATACACAGTCAGACATACAGACAAAACACCCGCATACATTAACAAAATAAAACAAGAAAGTCTTTAAAGAAAGGATGATCTCTTTCAAAAGCACTGAGTCCGCCCACGATTGAGTGTGTCTTGTGTCCCCAGGGGCCTCTGTGTTGGTATTTATACCACCAACTCAGCTGATGCCTGTCAGTATGTCATCAAGCATGCCAGGCTGAACATCTTGCTGGTGGAGAATGACCAACAGCTGCAGAAAATCCTGTCGGTGAGTGGGACTCCGGGTGGGTGCTGGGATGTACAGTCTGAGGCATACCCACAAAAGATCTCCAGAAGAAACTGCCTTTAGGGAGCAGGGTGAGTGTGGGGAGGTTGATCCCCAAGCCTTCCCAACCACAGTCTAGCTAGCCTCCCAACCCAGGAGGCTAGCACGGCTAGGCACCTGTGACCCCGAGCATTTATGTTCACTTTCATTTGTATTTTTTACGGATGTTACAGAAACACCTTCTACTCCTCACATGTGCATAGATGCCCAGAACTTGCCTGGGTTTGCAGGATGGTCTGGAACCCAGGGGGCCAGATGAACACATTGTTCAGTTTAAGATTGGCCATCAGGGCCTGAGGAGGTGGCTCAGTGGGAACCTGAGGCTGAATCCCTATGCCAGGAGCCAGGGCCAGTGGCACAGATCTGTCATCACAGTGTGAGGATGACAGAGATAGGACCCCGGCCAGTCAGTCAGTGAGAAACTCTGCCTCAAAAGACAAGAAGAGAGTGATGGAGGAAGATGCCCAGCATTGTTCACCCCCTGATGTTGTCCTCTATACACATGAAGATGCACACACACATAGACACAAACGTTAAAAAATTAAAATACAAGAGCTGCTATGGCAGTTGGGTCCATGTTGCCAGTCTTGGGTCAGACATTATCTAGAAACTTTTCAAGCAGGGACTACATGTCTGTCCACCTGTGGTCTAGTTGTTGGTCATGTTTATTCAATGAATTTCTTCTATGGCCATGTCAAAGAAAGCATGTCTGTCAGTTTCGAGCTGGGTCCTCAGGTAGCCCAGGCTGGTCTCCAACTCACTGTGTAGCTGAAAATAACCTTGAACTCCTGATCCTCCTGCCTTCATCTCCTGAGGACTGGGGTGATAAGTGCCATCACACCTGATTGATGTGGTACTGAGTACACACCACAGCACGTTGTGAATGCCCACTGAGCACAGCCCCAGCCCTGATTTTTAAAAACGTCTTTCTTTTAAAAAAATTACATCTGTATATGTGCATATATGTGTGCTGGTATACGCATGCCATCGTGTGTGGAGGACAGAGGACAGCTTTGTGGGGTTGGCCCTCCTCTCCCACCGTGTGCAGGCGCCTTGATGAGCAGGCCGGTGCAGATCCTGCGTCCCAGGACCCTGAGTCCACAGGGAACTCTTTCAGATTCCACCGGACAAGATGGAGACTGTGAAAGCCATCGTGCAGTACAAGCTGCCCTTGGAGGAAAGCATCAGGAACCTGTACTCCGTGAGCGCGGGAGGGGCGGGGCTGTGGGAGGGGCCTGCGGGAGGGGAGGGGCTTGAGTCTGGTTGAGATCGTAGGTGGGGACACAGAGGTGAATACACAGTGAGTGGGCAGGAACTCCTTGAGGAATTGTGCAAGGTGGTGGTGGGGCCTCTCTAGGGAAGGAGGTGGAAAGGCCCACACAAGAGAGTGGGTGGGCCCCTTAGAAAAGTGTGTGTGGCTACAGAGACAGTGTTAATGGGCGAGCAGTGGCAAGTGTTTCTGTTCTTGTTGAGATCCCTCAACTCAAAACCAGTAGATGAAGGCAGGAACTCATTATTTTGTGCCTGTCAGAAAAAACAAAGTAGTTGGAAAAAAAGAAAAAGAAAAAAACAATTGAAAACTTAGTTGATTAAAACATGTTATTTAAAATCTTATTTTCAACTTTCAAGGGGGAAATTGGCATATCTGTATTTGCATGTTTTATCTTTTTGAGACACAGACCCATAATCTATATCAAACTTATAGCCTACTATATGCTTTTTCTCTTTTTTCTTACAAACCTTACTGCATTTACTTGTGTTAGGAGTGTATTATTTGTGGGGGGGCGGGGAGGTAAGAAAGGTCACCTCTCTCATTCCATCATGTGGGTCCTGGGGTAGTCAGGCTTGACTGGGCGGGCTCATCAGTCCCACGATCTAATATTGTAACATCTATGTACATCGTGGAATGACTACATGGAGACAGTTAACACACATGGCTTCAAGTATTTATCTTAAAAAAAAAAAAAAAAAAAAAAAGCCCATTGCCAGGCATGGTAGCCACACAGGAGGATCTCTGTGAGTTCAATGCCGGCTGATTCGGCATACATTGAGAGTTCCAGGAAAAGTGGAGCATGATGGTGCACACCTTTAATCTCAGCTCTCAGGAGGCAGAGGCAGGCGGATCTCTGAGTTTGAAGCCAGCCTGGTCTACAGAGCTAGTTCCAGTCTCGAAAAAACCAGCCAAACAAGATTTATCTTTGAAGCAAGGCTGGGGACACAGGCCTGCTATCCTAACCTATAGGAAGATTCAGATAGGAGGATTGTGAGTTTAAGGCTAGTGGGAGCAACAACTAAGACACTCTATTAAAATGAAGAGGCTCAGAAGTAGAAAGGCTGCTGAGACTTCCCAGTGAGGGGTTGGGGGCGTGGTCAGGGGGGTGAAGCCACTGCCTAGAATCCCCCAACGAGGGGCTGGGGGCAAAGCTGTCTGTCTTCTTGCCTGGTGTGTAATGAGAGATCTTTAATGATGAGTTTTAAGAGGAAAGAAAAATCAAAAGTAAGCCTCCTTAGTTAGAAGTATCCCTGACTAACTCTTCAGGCTTGGCACTCTTGAACTTGGGGCAGAGGACCCTTGGTAGGGATAGTACTGAAACAGTGGGATGCTAAGGCTTGCCTCTAGCCTTTGGCCACTAGGTGGCAGCAGCATCCTCACTGTAGGAACAGCAAGTCAGTACAAAGATTATGCCATGTTCCCTCTGAGCAGCAATACCCCTCACTGGGACACTTACAGGGGATGGTTCTGTTACACAGCAAGGTATCTATCTATTCCAATCCTATAAGGTTGGAATGGAGGTAGATCTGGATATGTTGCCCAGGCTAGTCCTGAATTCATAGCCCAGGCTGGCCTAAAGCTTGACATCCTCCTGCCTCAGCCTCCTGTGTGCTGGGATTTAAAATCTTGCTACCATGACAGGGGTTCAAGCCTACAGTTTTAAGATTGAGTTTAAGAATACACGTTTTTATGGACCAGTGCCTCAGTCTACTTAGCTGCCCTGGAAAGATCATCTGAACCTAAAGGGTGCTATTGCCTTTAGCCCCAGCAGAGGCAGGCAGATCTCTAAGTTAGAGGCCAGCCTGGTCTAAAGAGTGAGTTTAAGGACAGCCAAGATTATACAGAGAAACCCTGTCTCAAAAAGAAAAAAGGCAAACCCCAATTGTCGTGAAGAAGGGAGGCCAATTGTCAGCCTCTTTAACTGCAGCTCAGAAAGGTTTTATGTGGCTAATCTCCTGGCTCTTGGCCCCCACCACCGCAGGACCCTGCAGTCCCATCTGTACAGCCTGTATTCCTCCTCTTCACAAACTCTGACTATTCAGTCCTGGATTGATGAGATACTCTGGCTTCCTCCAGTCAGGGATGACTTCTGGGTGGGGAACCTTGACAATGTGAGCTCAGGAAGCCTAGGATGGGAGCTCCCTCCAGGGAATCACCTGCCTCTGGGGGTTGGGCCAAAGAGAGGGCTCAGCAGGTAAAGGGGCTTGATCCTGGAAACTCACATGGTAGAAGGAGGGAACTGACTTCTGTAGGTACACTGTGGCATCTGTTCCCCAAGAATGCACCCCCAAATAAGTAATTAACTGTAACTCTCAAAATCTTCTGTTTAAACTATTTGAGGGTCAGTCTTTTGTTATTTACAACCCATGCTGTCCTTCAGGATAGCATATACACCAAAGGGCTAGGTCAGGGGACCACAGATGCTTGTCCAAGGCCACAGCACTGCCAATCAGTCAGTCACTTCTTGGGACAGCCCAAAGAGAGGGTCTAGCATTCCTGTGCTGTAGATGAGGCCTGTCTGAGCTGACAGGCCCTGGGGGCGTAGCTGGGGCATTTCTGAGCACTCTCCCAGCTGTTGGCCCTTCCTCTGTATTAACTGGAAACATGTCTTGGGGTAAGCCAGTGGGATGGATTCTGAGCAGGAGCCAGCTAATTCCCCACCTTGCCATCCACAGTGGCATGACTTTATGGAGCTGGGTAACGCCATCCCCAACGTGCAGCTGGATCGCATCATCTTGAGCCAGAAGGCCAATCAGTGCGCAATTCTCATCTACACCTCGGGCACCACAGGGAACCCCAAAGGGGTGATGCTGAGCCATGACAATGTAAGCCAGGGTCCCCCCCACCTCTGCCACCAGCATGTTCACCTCTGGGTAAAACAGAGCAACATGGAGGGGTGTGTGAGGTCTGTATGGGTCTTTTCTCATGGGGAATTGGGCAGTTGGTAGAGCTGGAGGCTTGGAAGACCTGGGTCCAAAGCCAGGCTTGGTGATCTTGGGCAAGAAAACTGATGATGCCATGCCTCAGTTTCCCTGTCTGTGAAATGGGAGTTGGTGTCTTGGTTTCTATCTGGTGGCTTTTTTTTAAGTGTGTGTGTGTGTGTGTGTGTGTGTGTATGTAAATATGTCTCTCTGTTTCTATATGTTTGAGTGAGTGTTTGAGTGTGAGACTCTGTATGTGTGTGGGGGGGGGACCTGACCTCAGCTGTGGTCCTTCAGGGGTTTCTATCTTGGATTCTTTGAGATAGGGTCTCTCAGTGATCAGGCCAGGCCAGATGGCCATGGATCCTCCTGCCCCACCTCTCTGGGGCTGGGATTATTAGTGAGCACCATCACATTGGCTCTGGGTCTCCATGCAGGAAGGCACTTTACCCACCAAGACATTTCACTGGCCTGATTGGTTTACTTTATTTTGTTTTTAGATTTTGAGATAGGGTGTTATGTAGCCCAGGCTGGCCTCAAACTTGCTGTGTAGCTGATCCTTCTGCCTCTGCCTCTGCCTCTTGAGTGCTGGGATGATGGCATGAACACTTGTCACTGATGTCTTCCTCAATTGCTCTCCATCCCATATATTGAGTGAGGCCTCCCATTGGGACTCAGGATCCTAGGTTCAGCTGTTCTGGGATCCTTTGCCTCCACCTTCCAAGTGACAGATTGCAGGTGACACATGTGCACTGTGCTGGACAGTTTTGTTAATGACAAAGCCAGCGCATCTGAGAGGAGGGAGCCTGCATTCAGAAAAATCCTCCATAAGACCAAGCTGCAGGCCAGCCTGTGGGGCATTTTCTTAATTAGTGATCTGTACCAGGCCACCAGCCAGCTCCCAGATCATGACACAGAGACTTAGTTATGAATGTCGGGCCTCAGCTCAGCTCTCCTCTGGACTGCTCTTTTTAACTTAAATTAGCCTGTTTCTCTTTATCAACCTTTGCCTTGGGGCTCCTTGCCTTCCTTCTGTGTGTCTTACTTTGGCTGCTGGCCGGGGAATCCCTGTTCTCTCATGTTCCTTCTCTTTCTTCTTGCTTTTTCTCCAGCCTAGATTTCTCCTCCTATTTATTCTCTCTGCCTGACAGCCCCACCCATCCTTTCCCTGTCTAGCGTTTGGCCATTCAGCTCTTTATTAGACCAATCAGGTGCCTTAGGAAGGCAAGGTGAAACAGAAGCAATATATCTTTACATAATTAAACACACATCCTTACATTGTTAAACAAATGCAGCATAAACAAATGTAACACATCTTTGCCCAGTTAAAATAATATTCCAAAACAGTGATCAATGAGGAGGGCCCACCATTGTGAGTGGTGCCATCCCTGGGCTGGTGGTCCTGGGCTGAGCAGGCTGAGCAAGCCATGGGAAGCAAGCCAATAAGCACTCTCCATGGCCTCTGCATCAGCTCCTGCCTCCAGGTTCCTGCCCTACCTGAGTTCCTGTCCCGATTTCCTTCAGGACTGAAGAAGCCTTCCCCCCCCCACATTGCTTGGGCCTCACAGCACTGGTGACTGTGACTAGAACACCACTCATGTCTGGATTCTGGAGACCTGAACTCCAGTTTTCAGTCTTGTGTGAAAAGAGTTTTTTAGCAGAGCCATACCCCATCCCCTGCAGATTGACATTCTAGATTAACCATCACAAAGCAGTACCCTTAGATTCACTCCTCCTGCTTGCTGGGGTAGTTCTACACAATTGGGATTCTGTTTGTATGCATATGGAGCATGTCTTCCCAAGTCACCCTCCCCCTTCTTTTGGGGACGGGGCCTCTCATTGAACCTGCTGTTCACCTGTGGCCAGCCACCAAGTCCCAGGGAACCTTCTGTATCCACAAGCATGACAGTAGTGGGTCACAAATGGGAAAGGTTGGGCAGTGGCTTTAGTACGGCATTCTCCATACGAGCATGGGATCCTGAGTTCAATCTTCAGCACCCTGGGCGTGGTAGGAATCCCATGTGAGGTGGGACAGAGACAGGAGGATCCTAGGTGCAGTAGGGGGTGCTCACTGGCCTGGCAGCCTACTTGAACTGTTGAGTCCTAGATCCGGCAAGAGACCCTGTGTCAAAAAACAAGGCAGAGGGGGCTGCAGAGATGGTGCAGTGATTAGGGGTGGAGTGTGGAACCCAGCACCCACATAGCCATCTGGGCATCACATGAGCCTGTCACAGCTGGAGGTGAGTCAGGCAGAGACATGAGGGTTTCCAGGCTTACTGCTGCTTCCTAGCCTGGCTGCAAAGTGTCCAGTTCAAGAAGAGAGCCTGCCTCAAAGGGGTACACACACACTCACAGGTAAGTACACATCTCAAGAAATTGTGTATGTGTGTGAGAGACAGACAGACAGACAGACAGCAGGTGTCTGTGAGTGTCCTTGGAGACCAGAAGAGGTGATATCTGGAGCTGGAGCTATGGGCGTACATCAGAGCCACCACGTGGGTGTGGAGAGCTGAAAGGGCCCTTCCTCCCTCTGCAGGAGCAGCGAGCCACCGATCCACCAGCAAGCCACTGAGCCACCTCTCCAGTCCTGTAGCTAAAATTTCAAAACAGTGAGGTGGGGAGCAGTTGAGGAAGAAAACTGGTCTCTATCACACATGCATGTGCACATGTGCACAGTGGTGCTTGGGTGAGGCATCAGAGCTCTGGATTACCCTTGTTTTCTAGATCACATGGACCGCAGGGGCCTTGGGCCAGGAGCTGTATCTGGGCCACGCTTCAGGGCTCCAGAACACAGTAGTCAGTTACCTGCCACTCAGCCACATTTCGGCCCAGATGATGGATATCTGGATCTCCATCAAGGTCGGGGGACTCACTTTCTTTGCTCAACCAGATGCACTCAGGGTAAGGCTGGGTGAGGGCCCCAATAAGCGTCTGGACTTCTTTTCTCCATCTTCCTTTCCTATTTCATTCCACAGTATTGAAAACAGCTGAGTAAATTTTCTTAGTTTTATCCTGATGTGAAGAACAGTTGTGTAGACTGCACCCTAAACAAGTTCAGTAGAGACCTGAGTGGCGTTGGAAGTCTGTATCACCTTCAATATCTCTTGCATTTATGTATTTATTTGGGGTATGCGCCATGGTGGGCACATGCTGGTCAGGGGACATTTTAGGGTCCATGGACCATTCTTTCTCCCACCCTGTGATTTTGGGGACAGACTCAGGTCATCAGGCTTGGTGGCAAGTGCCTTCACCCACTGAGCCAACCTGCTAATTTCCCCCTTTAAGAAAAGGTTATGTGCTCACATATGTGTGCACACACAGGCTCCTGTGAATTCCCAACCTCTAGGGTCAAGTCTGGCCTGAGAAGCACCAGCTGCTCCCGCAGAGGACCAGGGTTCAATTCCCAGCACCCAATAGCAGCTCACACGGGCATGTAACTCCAGTTCCAGGGGCCCAGTGCCCTCCGTGAGGACAGACATTTTTGCCTGTCATTTTTAACTCCTGTCAGTGTTCTACTGTGAGCCGGCTGCTTATCCTTGTGTTTGTCCTAGGGTGGGATAACTAGAAGCAAACCCTGAACTGGGTTTGTAACTTATTGCAGTGAGATAAAGATTGGATGGAAAAGAGACAAGCAAGGAGCAGCAGAGAGGACTGAGCTAAGAAAAGAAGGTTGAGCCAAGCATTGGTGGTGCACACCTTTAGTGCCAGCACTTAGGGATGCAAAGGCAGGTGGATCTCAGTGAGTTTGAGGCCAGCCTGGTCTAAAGAGGAAGTTCCAGGACAGGCTCCAAAACAATACAGAGAAACCCTGTCTCAAAAAGCCAAAAAAAAAAAAAAAAAAAAAAAAAAAAGGGAAGGAGGAAGAGGTTGAGCAGTGCAGTGCCAACAGACCCCTGGGGAGCTCTGAGCATGACTCAGGTCACAGGTGGTGCACGTGGCCACACGCTCAGCACGTCTGTGTGCTTGTGTGCAAGCCCAGCTGCCCAGTATTGCAGTTCTGTGGGAAAGAAGATGCTGTGGCTCATGAGGGACCAGTCCCAGGGTTGGACTGGAGCCCTGTGCGTGCCGCTCCGCAGGACCTTCTTGGCTTCCAGCTTGGACCCTGTTTTCTGGGGTCTTCGAGGTCTTTCCACCCCTCCCCACTTCCTTCATAGAGCTGGAGATGACCGTTAGAATAGCCGTGGAAAACAGATGCCCTTTGCAAACGTCACAAAACCACATGAGAAGTCTGAGTCCACATCATTCTTGGCTGCCTCATATAGTGACAACAAAAGAAGCCGGTTATCACAACATACATGTGTCCTTATGAGCGCTGGGCTAGAGGTTCAAACTGGCCCGTCAAGTGGCGAAAGTGGAGGTGTCACCAGGGCTGGTTTGTCTCAGAGCATTTGGGGGAGACCCGTTTTCCTGCCTTTTCCAGTTTCTAGAAGGAATGCTGCCTGTATTCCTAGGCTTGTGGTCTCTTCCTTCATCTTCTAAAACCGTATTATTATGTATGTGTTTATGTTCCAGGCAGTTGGGTCCCCACATGGGTGCTGGGAACCAAACTGTGTGCTCTGTAGGGCCATCAAGTGCTCTAACTAGTGAGCCTGCCTCCATCCCCTCTTCCCTCTTTAAAGCCAGCTGCTCATTATCTGCAGTTCCATTCCTAACACAAAGCATATAAGCACAAACATCAATGGACAGACACTTGCATTCGAACACAGAAAAACACATGAACACAGTTCACATATTCAAACAAACACACACGAACACACCATAAACACAGTCACATACATAGACACATATATGTAAATACACTGTCTCAGGTAAGATTTCCATTATTGTGATAAAATATATTGAGCAAAAGCAAGTTGGGGCCAGGAGGTGGTGACCCATGCCTTTAATCCCAGCACTCAGGGGCAATGGCAGGCCAATCTCTGTGAGTTCAAGGCCAGCCTAGTCTACAGAGCGAGTTCCAGGACAGATTCCAAAGTTACAGAGAAACCCTGTTTCAAAAAACAAACAAGCAAACAAAAAATGTTAGGGAGGAAAGTGTTTCTTTGGTTTATATTCTCCACCCCTGTTCATCACTGAAGGAAGCCAGGACAAGAATACAAACAGGGCAGGAACCTGGAGGCAGGAGCTGATGCAGAGACCATGGAGGGTGATGCTTACTGGCTTGCTCCCCATGGCTTGCTTAGCCTGCTTTCTTATAGAACCCAGGACCAGACCAGCAGCCCAGAGATGGCACCACCCACAGTGGACTGTGGTCTCCCAAATTGATCACTAATTAAGGAAATGCCCCACAGGCCAGTCTGGTGGAGCCATTTTCTAAACTGGGAGTCCTCTTCCCAAATGACTCTAGTTTGTGTTAAGTTGACAAAACACTAACCAAAAATGCACACAAACATAAACATAGACATGCAAACATACAAATAAACACAGAAATGTACATTTACACACAGTGACAAACATAAATACAAGCATATAAACACAATGAACACACATATAAACACACATAGATGCCACACTTACACCTGCAGTCACACAGCATACATGTGGGCCTCAGTCCCCTGCTGATGCCCTGTCCCTGCCATGTGGACCCTGGACAGGACACTGAGCCTCCTGATCACCCAGGAAATCTGGTTTCTCAAGATCCTTAATTTATTGTTACTCTTTGAATTTGTATTAGAGTTTAAATTTAAAGTGAGTGCTGGCTAAGGCATCTGGGTCATGTTAAAAGTGAAACTCAATGGAAACAGTGAAGTGTGTAGATTCACATAGAGTCACATGCAGACTCAGACACAAACACAGTTACATGTTGACACAGACACGACAGAGCTACACACGGCCTCAGACACAGTCATGAGACGCAGACACAGCCACACACAGACCACCACAGAGACCCAGAACCACACACAGACACACTCTGCCTGACAAGGAGCCTGAAGACCTGAGTTTGGTCCTCAGTCCCTTCAAGATGGAAGAGAGAACCAATTCCTTCCAGTTGCCCTCTGACCTCAACAAGAATACCGTAAAGAAAGTGAAAGAAAAAAGTCATTCATGGCCAAGTTTAATCCAGATAACCAGGGCTCTGTGGTTTTCAATATGATGGATGTTTCTGGTGGCAATCATTCCCTCCTGTGGGCCCCAGAAGCATTGCATACCACAAATATTAGAGCTGATGCTACAGAGACATCTCAGCTGGTAAGATCATTTGCTGCACAACCATTAGGACCTGAGTTCAAATCCCAAATGCTCATGTAAAAAGCTGGGCGTGGCTACTTGCATATACCCTTCTCGCGCGCGCACACACACACACACACACACACACACACACACACCCAGTGCTGTGGGAGTAGGAGGTCTCTGGGAATTGCTTGGCAACCTAGCTTCAGGTGCTAAGAATGAGTTCCTCTCAAGCGAATAAGGCAGAGTAGCCTCAGGACACCGGCCTTCCTCCTCTCCCCTCCATGTGTGTGGCTGTGTTATCTTGGGTGTTTTGTTTGTGGAATAGGATGGGATGCAGGGTAAGTGCTCACCCCGGAGCTGTGTGCCAGACCTTTGAGTGTATCATGTGTTTCCACTGACCCAAGAATCCCTTTTGCATATTTTTATCACATTTAGGTTTCCCCCGCTTCTCCATTGCCTTCCAATGCAGGTTGTATATTCATGTTTTTAAAGCATCATCCTCACTGACATTTCCTTCATTATTAATGATGCTGAACACCTTCTCATGGGTTCACTGACTGCTTGGATTTCATGTCTTCTCTTTCTTTCTTCAGATGTTTGTGCCCTTTTTCTTTATTCTTCCCTCATACATTCATCCTGACCATAGCCTTCCCTCTGCATCCTGTTATGTTGTGTCACTGGGAGACCTGCTCCCTTTAGAAGGAAAAATGAAGACTACTTGGATTTAATTTCTGTTCAGATCTTCTGCATTTCAAGTTTTCTTTGTATATCTAATTATGTTGATTTTTAAGGTTTCTTTAAGCATTCAGGTAATGAAGCCTTACCAGGTGCCATGATTTGCAAGAGCCTTCTAGTTCCCTGGCTGTCTTCCGTTTTTCCCTTCGTGGTCTTTTTAAGTGTGAAGGAAGTTTGGCTTTGATGAGAGGTTCAGTTTATTGCTTTTCCCCATGCCCCGCTACCACAAAGATTTTCCGGCTTTCCTCTGTACGCTCTTTACATTTAGCTCTTCACTTCGGGTTGATTTTCATGCTGGCTGAGAAGTAGGATTGTAAGGCAAGCGTGACTGTCTGCTTTCATACATGAACATCCTTTCCCAGTTGCAGGGAACTACTCAGGATACACGTGCTGAAGTCAAATGATCATAAGTGTAAAATGATGTCTGTGCACCAGTCTGTATGCTTTTACACACACATCCACACATCCACATCCACAAACACACATGCACACATATTCATGCACACATGCACTCACTTGCATACTCATGTTCTTGCACACGTGTGCACATGTGCAAACATGCATACGTGGGGATGGGGGAGTGGATGAATCTGAATCTGATTGGCTGCTGTGAAGCCAGGGGGTTGTTGCCTATGTCTGATACAAAGGCTGCTCTTGAGGAAGGGAAAGGGACATGTGTGGCTCCTCAAGGAGCTGCAGTACTTCACCTGCTCTGTCCCGCATAGGGCACCTTGCTGTACACCCTTCAGGAGGTGAAGCCTACTGTTTTCCTGGGGGTGCCTCGTGTCTGGGAAAAGATGCAGGAGAACATCAAGGAAAATGTTTCAAAGTCCTCCAGTCTGAGGAAGAAGGCGTTCACATGGGCGAAGATGCTCGGCTTGAAGGTCAACACCAAGCGGATGCTGGGGTAGGCACAGTGTCCTGTAGTGGGTGTGAGGGAGCATGGAGGAGGCTGTGCCATCTGAAGCTAGGTCTCCTTAACGATGCCATTCCTAGGAAGCAAGACATCCCCATGAACTACCGCATGGCCAAAGCTCTTGTGTTCACGAAGGTCAGGACCTTCCTGGGGCTGGACAACTGTCAATTCTTCTTCAGTGGGGCCGCGCCGCTCTCCCAGGATGTCTCAGAGTTCTTTCTCAGTCTGGACATCCCCATTGGTGAAATATATGGGATGAGTGAGACCTCTGGACCCCACTCAGTGTCCACCAAGAACAGCTACAGAGTGTTGAGGTACCAGTCTGCTGCAGCCCTCAGGAGCCCCCAGAGTCATGGCGTGACGTGTGAAGGGGGTGGTGACTGCTGGGTGACACATCCTGAGCCTGGGCATCCCAAGGATCCCATTCTCCAGTCTCCCTGCCCAGGACCTCTGGCTTAGCACACAACCTTCTGGGAAGGGCACTTGTTCTAGACCCATCTATCATGTTGTGTGACTTTCCCTGGGGAGACTTGAATGAATGTGTGTTTACCCCAGAGAGAGCACCAAAAATACCAACGAATCACTTCCTCTCAAGTGTACCTCAACACGCTTATTGGGGTGATTAAAGACTGTGGGTCAGAGGTCGCCGACAGGAGTGCCTGTAGCACGTCGCCCACAAATCCACAGCAGCCTGGGCCACACCTCAGAAAAGCCGCATCCAAAGCCCCTGCACATTTGACAGGCAGCTCCAAGTGTCTCCCTGGGACTGTTTCGTTAGTGGAATCTGGGGCTGGGCTCCGAGGCATTATACGTTTCAGGGATTCTCAAGACTTGTGAGTTTTCATTACTTCCTGAGTTCTAAGAGGCCTCCTTCCAGGAGGCCATGTTCTAGTCCTGAGGAAGATATTGCTGCCTGATACATGGTTTCCCTCCCAGTGCCACTTAAGTGTTCTGTGACCTCAGGACCCCATTGTCCTCCAGCTCAGGAATCTCCCTGGTTCTTCTGTGGGTTCTGTGCAGCTCATCTCACCAGGTCACAGTGATCCTAACCTTGCACACTGAGGGGCCCCTCTACTGTGGAGGCTGACCTCTTCCAGAATCCTTTAGCTACTCTGCTGACCCTGCTCCTGCCACCACATTGTATGTCTGGCTTTCTGCTTTTGCATGAGGTTTGCTGGCATACAGAATGCAACCGAGAGACCAAAATAACAGTAATGATAACAGCAAAGGAGGAGGAGGGGGGACGAGATGAGGAGGAAATGGAGGAGGAGGATAACTGGAAGTTGATGGTGTCCTTGGACTGCAGACACACCCTCGGGCACACTTCAGCTACATGTGGCCTTCTCTACCCATGACCACATCATGTCATTTTACCAGGACATTAGTCGCACTGTTGGCTAGACTGAGGAGGAGCCTCCTGTGTCCACCTCCCAGCATTAGGATGGCAGGCATATGGCCCCTTATGGTGTACACAGTGCATTTCTATAAGCCAGTGGACGAAATGTGCTGCCTCAGTTTCCCTTCTGTGCCTCTTCTCATAAGGTTGAAAGCAGCTACCCACACATTCCCTCTCTGTGTAATGTTTTGTGCTGCTGTCCTGGCCATCACATGGCTGTTGCCCCCAGCGTTCTCATAGGAGAAGTGGCTCGCTGTCATCCTAGGGTCTTCAGGGGTTGTAGTAGTGGATGTAGAAACAACTTCTGGTCCTTTGGACCTTTCAGATGCCCTGAATGTGGAGAACCTGAACACTGGGTCAGACCAATATCCACTGAGTCTCAGAGGGGCCTGAGTTCAGCTGGGACAGCCGAGGAACGTCAGGACTCTGGGTTGCCAGTATGGGAGGACCCGGGGACCACACCACCCTGTCTCTGATCCACTTTTATGGCTCACATCCCCGACAGCTGTGGCAAGGTTTTGAATGGCTGCCGGAACATGCTGTACCAGCAGAACAAGGATGGCGTGGGTGAGGTGTGCATGTGGGGCCGGCATGTGTTCATGGGTTACCTGGACATGGAGGATGCTACATTGGAAGTGCTCGACGGTGACGGCTGGCTGCACTCTGGGGACATGGGCCGAATGGACAACCAAGATTTCCTTTATATCACCGGACGAATCAAAGGTGCCAAGAGCATTTAGGGCAAAGAGTACTAGATGTATTAGGGAAACTGGCAGGAATTTTGGGGTGTCCAGGCTGCCAGAGGTACAGGCAGTGTGGGGGATGTTAGGGTGTCAGGTACTAGGGGCACTAGCAGCATTCCCAGGTCACCAGGGTCCTTCCCTGTAATACTGGGAGCAGGTTGCTCTAGACCTGAGACTTGTGCCCCTGAAGCCTTGTGCCGGCTTTGCCAAGCAGTAGAAGAGCTAGCCAGGAGAGGCCAGGAAGTGTCAGAGAAGCTTCAGAGGGAGTGTGGGGTGGCCCTGTCATCACAGCACTAGGGAGGCTGGGGCAGGAGAATGGGGCAGCCTGGGGCTTATCCTGGGCTGCACAGGGAAAGTCAAACAACCCTGCAAAAAAACTTCAATGCATTCTGTCACCATGATGAGCACTGTAATCAGAAGCAGCGTAAGGAGGGAAGGGTTTATTTAGCTCACAGCTCAGGCCACACTCCATCATCCAGGAAGTCAGGACAGGGATTCAGGGCAGGAACCTGGAGACAGGAGCTGGTGCAGAGGCCATGGAGGGTGCTGCTTACTGGCTTGCTCCCCATGGCTTGCTCAGCCTGCTTTCTTATAGAACCAGGACCACCATCCCAGGGATGGCATTACTCACAGTGGGCTGGACCCTCCCCCATTGATCACTAATTGAGAAAATGCTCCACAGGCCAATCCAGTAGAGACATATTCTGGTTCGGGTCCATCTTCCCAGGAGACCTTGGCTTGAAAGTTGACAAAAACTAACAGGACAAATTCTGTCCATGTGGGGTCCTGAGAACGTAGATGTTGGCAGGGAAGCCAGCCACAGCAGTCTTTGCCCTGGTCCCAGGTGGGTGGGACCCTGTACCAAGCTGGACTCCCATTCCAGAGATCCTGATCACTGCTGGTGGTGAAAATGTGCCCCCCATCCCCATCGAGACCCTGGTGAAGGAGAAGATCCCCATCATCAGCAACGCTGTGCTGGTGGGTGACAAGGCCAAGTTCCTGAGCATGCTGCTGACGCTGAAGGTGACCTAGAGCTGCGCCAGCCTCTGGGGGCTGCAGGCAGCTGGGGCTCAGGCTCTGCTTTGTGGCTTGGGTTGGGGTCAGGGATGACTGGGGAACATGCATGGTGACAGGCTGTCCTGGGGTAGTGTGAGACAGACCAGATGAGCGGAGAGCCCCTGGACAAGCTGAGTGCAGAAGCCATCAACTTCTGTCGGACACTGGGCAGCACGGCAGTCACTGTGTCGGACATAGTGAAACTACGAGACCCGCTGATCTACACAGCCATCCAGTGTGGCATAGACATCGTGAATCAGGAAGCGATCTCTGATGCGCAGAGAATTCGGAAGTGGCTCATTTTAGAGAAGGACTTTTCCATCCAAGGTGGAGAGCTGGGTGAGTAGCCTGGCCTGGGCCTTTGAAGGGTGACTCTGGATTAGGTCTGTGGAACCAGCTAGGACATGGGACATTGTCGCTTTTACCAACCATTGAGCTCCCAGCTGGCCTCCATGTGCTGCCCTTTCCCTAGGACAGACACATTCATGCTCTGGAGCTAACACCAGAACTCCACTGGGCTGGAGGGACTGATCAGTGGTTAGAGCATTTTCTCCCTGTTCCCCACCCCCAACTCAGGACAGAATTCAGATCCCAACCAAGTCTGGTAGCTTACAGCCATCTGTAACTCCAGCTACAAGGGATCAGATACCCTTTTCTGGCCTCTTTACACAATACACTCAAATGCACACATATGCCCCACATACAGAAGACACATCATTAAAAATAAAATAAATCTTGAAGAAAACAAAAACTTTATTATAGGCAGAACCCTCACTACCACGAGTCTACATGAACATCTCATAATCCCCTCTCACTGAGAGCAGGAGCAGACATCCAGGCCAGCCCTGGGACCCTATCCCTGGTTGCCCATGATGCTTGTGGCCCTTTTCCCTCCATAATTTAACTGCCCTCTCCTTTTTCCACAGGGCCGACATCAAAACTCCGGAGACGTATCATAACCCAGAAATACAGACTCCAAATCGATTCCATGTACTTGTGACTGCTGTGGCAAGAGCTTCCTTGATGTCCTCATGGTGAGACCCGATGGCCTGGCTTTGTCAGGCTGGGTGGTAATGGGTGATGGCAGAGCATCCTGCCCTTTCTGTCCTTATGATACAGTCTTCCCAGCCAGGACCAGTGTTTCTCATGGATCCCCACTTATTTATTTGATCTTGACACAATATGTATGTGAGTGCCGTGGTCAGGGGACAACCTTGGGTGTCACCTTGCTTGTTACCCCCACTATGCCAAGTCCTGCAGCCTCGATGGCCCACCACCTTCTGGGTTCTCCTGGCTCCACTTCCATCCCCCATCTCAAGGAACTCTGCTGGGTCTGAAGATCTGAACGCAGGGCCTCACATCTGTGTGGCAAGCCCTTTGCCCACTGAGCTGTCTCCTTCAGTCCCTATTTCCCATGGCTTTTGTTCAGAGATCTGGGCTCTAGAAATTCTGACTCACTACACCTGCTAGCCACGCTCTCTCCTCTCCACCCACAGGGAGCACGGTGGGTGAGGGGGGCTGAGCACAGGCATGGCACCCATAGTCACTCTCAGTCAGATGTCACCCTGTCATGAAACTGGTGTCTCTAGCTAGCCCATCTGTGTGGCCTGAGGAGCAGGCCTCCCAGGAAAGGACACCACAGCTGGCCACCAGCCCAGCTCTGGGTCCATGCATGGACAGGGCTGCTGTGTGTATGAGTGTATTTTGAGATAGGGTCTCTCACTGGCCTGGAATTTTCCAAGTAGGCTAGGCTGGCCGGAGAACCAATGTGCTGGGGTATAAGTGTGCACCACAGGTAGCTATATCCTCTCGTTACCCTTCCCTCCCTTCCTTCTCCCTCCACTCCCCCTCCTCTCCCTTTCCCCCCTCTTCCCCACTCCCTCCTTTCTTCACACAAGTGCTGGGATTTGAACTCAGGCCCTCTTGTTTGTTTACCCTCTGAGCTACCTCATCTCAGCCTTTTTCTTAAGGACACTGGTCAGACTGGATTGGAGCTCACCCTATGCTCTTCACTTTAGTGCTATAACAGCCCCAGTTTCCAAATAAGGTAGCATGAGGCATGGGGCTCAGGCTGCACAGTTGAGCCATGGCACTCGGCCCTTCAGTTCACTTCTTAGCCAGCACACAGTGCCTCCAGGCAGTGTAGGGCTCAGGGCCCAGGGCGCAGGGCCCAGGGCGCAGGACGCAGCTCCGGTTGTGTGGGTGGACGTGTACCCGTCAGATAATCAAAGCTGTATAGTATAGCAATGGACATGGGGACATGGGTGGTCTCTCCCCATCCTCCTGACAGCATAAGCCTTCACTTTGAAAGGTTCAGCCTAAAAGTCTCAAAGTCTAACTGATGTCAATATTGGTAAAAGTGTGTGTGAGAGAGAGACGTGCAGGCCAGAGGAGTTCATTAATCAGGTGCTCTGGTCTGAGACTATTCCCTTGAGACCAAACCTGAAATAGGCTTTTGGCCTACACTGCTGAGCACAAGCTGGAGAAGCCACTCCCAGTTTTTAACATGGGTTCTGGGGGTTCGAACTCAGGTCCTGATACCTGTCCAGCTCTCTCATCCATTGAGCCATCTCCCTAGCCCAACACTAGATTTTAACTGCATGCGTGGTTCATGTGGCTGTCCTAGCATGGTGTCCCTGTAGCTCACAGTCGGTGGATGTATATTCATTCCCTCCAAGGCATTGACTGTCCTACCAGGGCCCCACAGACTAGCCCAGGCCCCTCCTCTCCAGCCTCCCACAGGTAGACCTCATCTCAGTGGTTGACTCCCCTGCCCAGGGAGACCCCTCCATGCAGAAGAAGCCAGACCACCCTTGGCTCTGTTGGTCCTGCCTCAGCTTCCTGTGGCAGGAGGCCCAGGATAGAGACACCAGAGTTGACCAACCTTCCCTGCATGAGAGAAATGGCAGTGTGGCTGCAACACGCTCTTCCTCCCCTAGGATTTTGTATTAGGAAGAAAATGCTTCAGAGGTGAAGAACTGGACCCCCAAACACCTTCCTGGGAGCAACATGGAAACCTCTCAAATAAGATGTAGTCAGGCACATCACAGCTTGAGGCCTCGTTCTTTCCTGGTGCAAACACCATCCATCCACCCACCTGCCCTGTGTGACGGTGAGAGCTGAGTGATGGAGTCCACTGTGGGTTCAAATTCTGGGAAGCCATGTGTGCGCATCCTCCTGAAAATTGGCACATTGGTTGCCTTGGCTCCTTGTGTGGTGATTTTGGCGTCTGGTGGGGGGTGGGCAGGGGGCTGGGAGTCAGGTACCTTGCCCTAGGGCTCTCCACGGCAGTGGCTGGGAGTCCCTCATTCCCTGATCAGCTAGACTGCCTGCCACCAAGCCCCAAGGATACCCCTGTCTCTGCCCCTCTGGCAGTTCATCAGGCTAAGCCATCTCCCACCCCTCAGCTAGCCTAAGCTGACTCAAACTGGCTATGTAGCTCAGGCTACCTTTAACCTCATCATGTAGTCCAGGTTGGCCTATCAGCAGTCCTCCGGTCTGGGCTTATTCCCCCTTTGACAGCACCCTCAGATACTTTTAACTTTGGTAATACCCAGTTTACTTTAGTCTTGCGTTGCTGTATGAGCTGTGGTGTGCATGCGTGAGTGAGTTCGGGCCTGTGGAGGTCAGAAGAGGGTGTAGCATCCTCTGCAGCTGGAGTTTCAGACAGCTCTGAGCTGATACATGTCAGTGCTGGCAATAGAACTCTGGTCCTAGGAACAGCTGCTAGCAGTTGAACTGCTAAGCCATCTCCCTGGTCCCAGGGGTCCAGCCCACAGGTCCAGTGAAAACTTGCACCATGCTGAGTTTCCCAAATGCACACTATACAGGCAGCATGCTGAGTATCCACCACAGGTAGCAGATCTGCACCAACTAAGAATAGTGCAGCTTGTTAGTGGTGCACGCCTTTAATCCCAGAACTCGGGGGTGGGGGTGGGGACAGAGGCAGGTGGATCTCTGTGAGTTAAGGCCAGCCTGGTCTACAGAGGGAGTTCCAGGTCAGCCAATGCTACGTAGTGAGATTCTGTCTTGAGAAAACCAACCAGCCAACAAATAAAATTAGTGGGCACCAAAGGGATGGTTATTACAGACTGGATTTCCTCACATTTGAATTGGCAAGAAGCCGCCCCTTAAAAGGTGTGGGCATCAATGTGGCCACTCACCCTGGTGCATCTTAATGAGAAAGTAGAAAGATAGCTGAATGCATGACCCTGTCATTTTCTGTTGCTGTAACAAAATGTCTGAGGCTGAGGAACATAAAGTTCAATTACCTCACATTTATGGAGGCCAGGATTCCAAGATCCTGTTGATAAAGTCCCCAACCCACCCAAGAGTCACATGGCAAGCGGCTCACATGAAGGAAAGCAATCCCTTTTGGAAGCAGGAACAGACAACTGGCCTGGACTTGGTGATCCTGCCTGAGTCTGCCCAGTGCTATTGTGACAAGCATGCCTCGCAGCTTCCCATCTTTTTCCTTGTGTGGTGTAGTCCTGTGTGCGTGCGTGCATGCATGTGTGTGTGTGTGTGTTAGCCTGGAGCCCGCTGTTTCTGCTATGCTGGATGGCTGGGAGCCCCCAGAATGTGCTGCCTCCTCCCACAGTGCTGGGTCACAGGCCAGGTTGCCTCTCTGGACTTTATTCATGAGCGCTGGGGACAGAACTCCTGTGTTCACTCGCTCACTGAGTGTATTGCCTTCTAAGTCATCTCCAAACTCCTAAATTCCACTGTTTTCTTTTGCTTTTTTAGGGGAGCAGTGGTCTCACTGTGTAGGACAGGTTGGCCTTGAATTCATAGCAATCTGCCTGCTTCTGCCTCCTGATTATAAAGAGCTGGTCCCACAATCCCACTTTTAAAGGTCAGCTGTGAGGGGTGGGGGACAGAACCCCAGATCCACACAGCCACCACAGCAGCCTGAGCATTTTGCTTAATATATGGGAGTGTTGGCTCAAGCACACCAGGACTTTAATGATCCAGAAAAGAACTTTAGGATGAAACAGCCTGCTTGGTACTAGAAGACAATGTAAGGACATTTGTGGATTGATTTATTATTTATGTATTGGGGTGCAGGTAGAGGTTGAAGGACAATGTGTGTAAGTCATCTCCCTCCAGCATGAGAGTCCCAGGGATGGAACTCAGTTCTTCAGGCTTGGCAACAATTACTTTTACCTGGTGAGATCTTATTGGCCCCTAAACAAATTTTGTTTTTAAATTTAGATTTTTGAAAAGGGTTTGTTGTTTTTGTTTTCTGGGCATATGTGTTTTTCCTGTGTGCATATGTGGGTAACAAATGCATGCCTGGATGCCCACAGAAGGCAGAAGAGGGTATCCATCCCTCTGGAACTGTATTTATGTATAGTTTTGAGCCATCATGCAGATGCTGGGGACTGGACCCATGTCCTCTGGAAAAGCAGTCATTGCTCTTAACTGCTGAGCCATCTCTCCAGCCTACACATTAGAATAAGACCTTAAAGCTGGACATGGTGGTGTACTCCTTTAATCCCAGCACTCTGGAGGCAGAGGCAGGCTGATTTTTGAGTCCGAGGTCATTCTGCTCTATAGAGCGAGTTCCAAGGAAACCTGGGCTACACAGGGAAACCCTGTCTAACCCCCACCAAAGACTTTAAGCATGAGGACTGAGAGAGACCCCTCCTCCAGCATTCGGGTGCCAGCTGCTCTATGGAGCCTTGGCTCTGAGTCTTCACAGGATCTGGTAGGTTCTAAGCTCACAGGGGAATCCCTCCGTGTGTGTGTGGGGGGGGGGCATACACGTGAGAACAGCCAGAACAGCCAATGAAGAAAATGCCTTCTGGTAAGACATCTTTACTTACCAAAGGTCTTGCTGAGGTTCTCAAACTGTCCAGTCTGACCAGGGAAAAGAGAACCCGCCCAAGGCCCCACACATTCAGGGCTTCAGCCTGCACCACTGTTAGCCTGATGTGAAGTACACATGAGGTTAAAGGTGGAGAGTGACACCTGCAAGTTGATATCTACATGTGTGTGACATGCATACATCACACCCTAAAGGAACACATGAAA